TTTGTACAGGCTAGGTTTAGCGTGATGTTAGTGGGTTAAAAACTTGGACCCGGATTGTAGAAATAAATGGGAACAGTAACTGTATGACAGGAGACTGTCTATCTCGTGCGTGCCATCGGTCTTCCATTTCAAATATGGCCTTTTGAGATTTATTGAAAATTAATGTCATTTTTTCACATGTTAAAGCGCTAGACCCATTTTCTTAATGCCAATGTTGCATGTACAAATTAAACTTGGCAATTTTCATGCTGTTTATTTATTTATTTTGCAATATAAGGTGGGTCAAATTATTTTTTCTTGGATTTATTTATTTTTATATTTATTTATTTATTATTATTATTTTTGTACCAGTTGGTGTAAAATATCATGTTTCGCAAACATTAAATCACCTCAGGAGAATATAATTGCTACTTACAAATTATTTATTCAGTTCACGCTGTGTAAGTATTAACAAGTTCTCATAATAGTAAAACACTTGCAAACCTCGATGTTTATCACAAAATGCTAACATTTTGTAAAAAACGAATCTAGAGAAACCTAGTGTATGATGCGTATAGTGTTAAACCTTACAAATCAGGCAGAAAAAGTGTACAATATATCACATCAACCATTAATTATTGGGTCATGAATCTCGTTATCTTGTACATATTTTTTCACCTTGTCTTTGACCACAACCTCCCAGTTACGCTTCAGAACACCTTTGTTACCTTCCGTGTTAATAAAGCTCAACACCAACTTTGGAATGGAAACGGTGATAAAAGAAGCAAACCCCTGACCGATGAATTGTAACTCTGAAGCTATACCGAAATCCATCAGCGTGAACATCAAAAAGATTGCTGATGCAATTGCGACAATAGAGGTGGCGCATGCCTTTGCCATGCCTATTTCGAGAGGAAGTAGTTGTTTATAAATAGCCACCCACAGGTCTTTAGGGACGATCTCCCAACCGCTGTCATCTAGTTTGTATAATTGGTCATTGTCTCGCTCTGGAATAGGTGGCTCTGCGCTGATGGTTGCTATAACGTTTCCAGTATCAACGATGTACTCTTCAGCATCATGTCGATATAGAGCTGCAGTGCTTGAGGAATTTGAGGGTTCTCGATTAATAACATATTCCAGGGGTNGTTTTCTGGCAATTTAACAGTTTTTTGTGAAAATTTAATTTTTCACTTATTTGCATCTTTATTTTCTGTTCTTTGTCTGTACATTTGACAGCTTTGCTGCCTTGTTAATCTTTGATGCAGAGAAATTATTTATTTATTTTCCTTTGAATTTCTCCCCAGTCTTCTACCCCTGGATGCAATGCAACTCATCTATAGGTGGCGCCAGAAATAGGATTAGAAATAGGAAAAAACCAAGTGATGGATATGGGCAATCATGTTTGGGGGAACTTTGCCAGTTACTTCTAGTTCTTCCTGTTGTTCTGTGGATTTCTTTAAGTCTGCTACCATATTGTTTGTAACACTAAAATTAATTATTAACTGAAAACCTGTGTTTACTGCATACATTTATAATATTAGATCTGCTTAATATAATTAATGCAGAAGATAATGTATGTGAGTATCTTTAATTAGTGTTCACTTTCACAGAGTTTAATATGTTTATTACGCATTACGTTATTAGTGAAGATGAGCAAAGAAAAAAAAGGTACTGGAAAGGAAAGGAATGAATCAAGGAATAAGTTGAAGTTGACATTTGATATCCAGGGATAAAATTGAAAGTCTATTGAAATTAGTTAGAAATTCTCAGTATTTTGAACAAGTGATCCAAGTCTCCTGGCTGTCTTTTGTTGGTTGTCATAGCTTCCACACATGTCCAGTTATTATAATTATTATTGTCTGTATCTATTTATTGTTTTTTAAAGTTTGTATTGTTATAGTGATGCCTTATCACATTGCTTGTTATGTTAAATTGTGAATATAATGCTCAGTCTATATACAGTTTATTACTGTAATATGTATGGTATATGTTTGCTTCTATAAATATATGGATATTTTTGTGTCTGATGTATGTATTATATGGTGTACAAAATATTATGTTTTTACCAATAAAAATATTGCTTTTTTAATATTTTAACGGAAAAAAAGGTTGGAAATGAAAAATTCTGAAAATCTTAGGAAGCGTTATGTTGACTCAATATGAAGCCAATCATTAAATATTGTTTTTTGTTGTACCTCGGACTTCATTGGCATTTTAAGTTATTTAAAAAAAAATATAAACTAGAATGATTAAAAGTTTTGTTATTAAAAATTATAACCTCCTCAGTTAAAGTGCTATGATTGCTAAAATTTACCTATTTATCAAATTGAATACAGTGAATAGGAGTGAATTAAGTAATATGCTGGAAGAAATGTTTGTATTTTTATCAAATTTTTATTTTAACACTCACATGATGTGAAGTATTTTGGCTGTTTATGCTACATGTACATTGTGCAAAAGACAATCGTTTTTTTTCATATGGCATTTGATGATTAGGGAGGTAAAACATTAAGTGCACTGTTTAGCCAGTGGTTTTAGGCATTGTTTTAGAATATAAAAAATATTTTCAATTACTGAGTACATAATTGGAGATAACCCTCAGAGTATGTTTTTACTGAGTTAAAAATTATATCTTATGACTCCAATATAGATATTGTATTTTATTAGAACTCTTGAAATATAGTTTTTAACCAGAGGGTTAATTGGAAGGATATTTTGTTAGTATGAAAATATTAAAAAATGTTACCGCTCACTATGAATGTTTTAATTTTGAGAATTGATGACTTAAAAAATACATTATCTGTAAATTGACAATTTTCACATGGAAAAGATTGAATTTGTACTGTTCTCATTTAAAGATGATGTGAAAAATATGGCAAAAGTAGGCATTTGGTCATGAATGTGCTTATGAATATAGCTACTATTGTTGAAAAGTTTTAAGATGTCTCATATAGCAGCAATATTTTTGTGTATCATCACTCAGTAATGTAGCAACATATTATGGTCAATAAAGTCATGTTTAAAATAATTCTTTGTATTTATAATACAAGGTGCCTGGAAACCTGGTCCAATTCCCATTACTGTCTAGTACGGGTGGCATTTGTTCTGCATATCAACTCTGCTACTTCAGACTAAGGGTGCATTCCCAGAGATTTAGATCGATCCAGAGATTTAGATGGACCTAATTCCCCGGGGGTTCACGCTAAATTGCAGTCAGTCGAGCGCGCACCATAGTTAATTACCCCCTAACAGCTTTTAGTAGGCGGGACAGACGCTTAAGCCGGCTAAGCTGACAGTAATCTCCCCACAGGGATAGATCGATCTAAAATCTATGGGAATGGGGTCTAAGAGTTATCACCAGTGCCTTGAAACCAGCCAGTACTCGTCACACGCCACCAAGGCATAAGTGAACTACTGAGGCTCCGTGTGACGGAGTCCCCCTTCCATTTGATTTGTACAGGCTAGGGTTAGCGTGACGTTAGTGCGTTAAAAACGGATTGTAGAAATAAATGGGAACGGTAACTGTATCGCAGGGGACTGTCTATCTCGTGCGTGGCATCGGTCTTCCATTTCAAATATGGCCTTTTGAGATTTATTTATTTATTGAAAATTAATGTTATTTTTTCACATATTAAAGCGCTGGGCCCTTTTTCTGAATGCCAATGTTGCATGTACAAATTAAACTTGGCAGTTTTCATGCTGTTTATTTAATTATTTATTTTGCAATATAAGGTGGGTCAAATTATTTTTTCTTGGATTTATTTATTCATTTATTTTTGTACCAGTTGGTGTAAAATATCATGTTTCGCTAACATTAAATCACTGCAGGAGAATACAATTGCTACTTATAAAGTATTTATTCAATTCACGCTGTGTAAGTATTAACAAGTTCTCATAATAGTAAAACACTTGCAAACCTCGATGTTTATCACAAAAATGCTAACATTTTGTAAAAAACGAATCTGGAGAAACCTAGTGTATGATGCGTATAGTGTTAAACATTACAAATCAGGCAGAAAAAGTGTAGTTCGACAAAATACAATACATTACATCAACCATTAATTATTGGGTCATGAATCTCGTTATCTTGTACATATTTTTTAACCTTGTCTTTGACCACAACCTCCCAGTTACGCTTCAGAACACCTTTGTTACCTTCCGTGTTAATAAAGCTCAACACCAACTTAGGAATGGAAACGGTGATAAAAGAAGCAAACCCCTGA